GTGGCACAATCATACGCCACTGCAGCCTCAAACTCCTGAGCTACAAAGCTATCCTTCTGCCTCAGCCTCCTGACTAGCTGGAAGACATTTGCCACTATGCCCAGCTAATTTTTTTTTTTTTTTAAGAGACGAAGTCTCACTATGTTGCCCACGCTAGTCTCCAACTCCTGGCCTTAAGTGATCCTTCCACCTTGGCCTCCCAAAGTGTTGGGATTATAGGTTGTGACCACCGCACCTGGCTCTAGTCTCTGCTTTAATGTACGGGAATTGTGTACCCAGGTTGAGGCTACAGTGAGCTGTGATCGTGCCACTGCACTTCGGCCTGGGAGGCAGAGCAAGACCCAGTCTCAGAAAAAAAAGAAAAAGAGCCCGTAATCCCAGCACTTTGGGAGGCCAAGGTGGGTGGATCATGTGGGCAAGAGATTGAGACCATCCTGGCCAACATGGTGAAACACTGTCTCTACCAAAAATACAAAAATTAGCCAGGCACAGTGATGGGTGCCTATAATCCCAGCTGCTAGGGAGGCTGAGGCAGGAGAATCACTTGAACCTGGGAGGCGGAGGTTGCAGTGAGCCAAGATTGTGCCACTGCACTCCAGCCTGGTGACAGAGAGACTCTGTCTCAGGAAAAAAAAAAAAGAAAGAGTTGGAAGACAAAGTTAAGGAAATCTCTCTAAGAATGGAATAAAAACAATGCAGATGGTAAATAAGCAAAAAAGGACAAGAAACATTCAGGATCAATCATTACATGATTGACATCCAAAGAGAGTTCCAGGCCAGGTGCAGTGGCTCACGCCTGTAATTCTAGCACTTTGGGAGGCCGAGGTGGGTGGATCACTTGCAGTCAGGAGTTCGAGACCAGCCTGGCCAACATGGTGAAACCCCATCTCTACTAAAAATACAAAATTAGTTGGGCATGGTGGGGCAGACCTGTAATCCCAGCTACTTGGGAGGCTGAGGCAGGAGGATCGCTTGAACCTGGGAAACAAAGGTTGCAGTGAACTGAGACCGTGCCACTGTACTGCAACCTGGGTGACAGAGTAAGACTCCGTCTCAAAAAAACAAAACAAACCAAAAAAAAAAAAAAAGCAGTTCTAGAAAGAATTCGTAAGTTGAAAGGTTCTGGAAAAGAAAAACTGTCCTTGGCATTCATTTGTTATTGTTCAGTGATTTTCAATGAATTAAAATTTTTTTTTTTTTTTTGAAACTGGAGTCTCACTCTGTCGCCCAGGCTGGAGTGCAGTGGTGCAATCTCACCTCACTGCAAGCTCCACCTCCCGGGTTCACGCCATTCTCCTGCCTCAGCCTCCCGAGTAGCTGGAACTACAGGCATCTGCCACCACGCCCGGCTAATTTTTTGTATTTTTAGTAGAGACGGGGTTTCACCGTGTTAGCCAGGATGGTCTCGATCTCCTGACCTCGTGATCCGCCTGCCTCAGCCTCCCAAAGTGCTGGGATTACAGGTGTGAGCCACCGCGCCCAGCCGAATTCAATCTTAAGAAAGATTACTAGAAAAGGAAGAATCGTCTTGACATATTGTAAATACAGATAACGAAGGCCTAGAAATCTGACTTACTGTCCCAGCAGAACTAGGAAGAAAACCCAAATTCTGACTTCTAGTAATCCTCCCTGGAAAGCACATGGCTGGTTTGCTTTAACATTCAAGGATTTCCAGTAAGAGTGTTTCAGCACTTTAAAATACAGCAAAGCAAGTAAACCTAACATTACTCTGACCTGGCAATGATGTCATAGAAATGCATTTCGTTTTCCCTCTCTTTGCTCAAAGCTTGCAGGAGACTGTTGTAAGTACCCGAATCTTGCAACTCCTCAATGGTATCTGCAATCACATCGCTGAAAAACTGCCTGTAAGGAGAAACAGACCAACAAAAAAATGAGTTAATCAATTATGTTTTCGGCCAGGCGCAGTGGCTCACGCCTGTAATCCCAGCACTTTGGGAAGCCCAGGCAGACGGATCACGAGGTCAAGAGATCAAGACCATCCTGGTCAACATGGTAAAACCCCGTCTCTACCAAAAATACAAAAACTAGCCAGGCATGGTGGCACATGCCTGTAGTCCCAGCTACTCAGGAGGCTGAGGTGGGAGGACTGCTTGAGCCCAGGAAGTCAAGGCTGCCGTGAGCCAAGATCATGCCACTGCACTCCAGCCTGAGTGACAAAAAAGGATACCATAAAAAATGAAAAACTCAGGGAAGAGCTCTTAGAAATCAATGTTAGCATAACATTTTGAAAAATTAAACACAAGAGTTGGAAGATAAGGCCAGTTGTGGTTGGGGTTACAGGCATGATCCCAGAACTTTGGGAGGCCGAGGCGGGCGCATGCACTCTAGCATGGGCAACAAGAGTGAAACTCTGTCTCAAAAACAAAACAAAACATTTTTTTTTTTTTTTTTTTTGAGACAGAGTCTGGCTCTGTCACCCAGGCTGGAGTGCAGTGGCGCGATCTCAGCTCACTGTAACCTCTGCCTCCTGCATTCAAGCAATTTCTCCTCTCAGCCTCTCAAGTAGCTGGGATGACAGGTGCCCACCACCGCACCTGGCTAATTTTTGTATTTTTAGTAGAGAAGGGATTTCACCATGTTGGACCAGGCTGGTCTCGAACGCCGACCTCAGGTGATCCACCCACCTCGGCCTCCTGAAGTGCTGGGATTACAGGCAGTGAGCCACCGCACCTGCCTGGGTCTTAACTTGTGTGACTTCTGTAGCCCTTGTGAGTAGGGAAATGCATATTTTTTAATATGTATATCAATACATATAATAGAATAATAATATAATATAATAATTTGGAGCCAGTCTGCTATGTAGTCCCAGCCTGAATCTCAACTCCCGCGCTCAGCACATTCTTCCACCTCAAGCCCTCCAAGTAGCTGGAATTAGGGCGCATGCCACCGAGCACCTGGCCTAAAATAATCGATCTGTGTAGAATTTTATTGGAGATGGAGTCTCCGCTCTGCCAGGGGAGAGTCAGCAATGATGGGAATGCGTTGGCTCACTGCAACACAACCTCCACACTGCTCCCAGGTTCCAGTGATTCTCCCTGCCTCAGTCCTCCTGAGTACTGGGATTTACAGATGCGTGCCA